TACCAATGAAGTACTCTTGTATGATGACTTCACACTTTCTCTGTTGATACATCCTCTGATCTCTTAACAACTTGGGCATTCCCATATGCCTTATGGTTATTCTTTTTTTCTTGCACTCTTCAATCTTCCTCCGGGTTCACTTCACATCTGCTTAACTTTAGGTAGAATTTGGGTTCCTTCTCTCACGTCTCCGCTTTCTGATTCACTAGAACATTAAGTTCTTTTGCATGACACTGTTCTTGTATTATTTGCTGATATTCTCTTCACCAAGTTCCTTCTATGATTTCCTTAAGTTCTCATTCTTCAACTGAGTTCCTCAAATACAAATTAATAAGCCATCCATATCTACCACTTGCAATCTCGAAGGTTCTCTATTCTCTCCTTATAAGGCAGCCAAATAAATTACTCCCAATTCTGCTCCATGATTCTTGAGATCCTGCTCCATATCATTATCCATATCCATTCTTCTTAAAGCATAAGCAATATCATTTGCTCTTCCTAAGTCTTCTTTGATCAGTGAACCCTTGTATTCCTTCTCCATATATAAATGATCACTAAATTTGATGTGCCACAGAAAGACTGCCAACTTCAACTCGTGTCGGATAGTTTAACTTATATTTCTTTAGCTTCCTTGATGCATACACGATTACCCTATCGTCTTGCATTAGCATTCACCTTGACCAACACATAATACATCCATGTAGTAGTATATGGCTGGTTAGGCTCATGCAAGTCTAAAATATGCATAGACGTAGATACTTCTTCTAACTGATTGCATACTTCATCAGTACTTTTACTCCATTCCAAGGTAACAAACACCATTCTAAATCGATCAGCTCATTGGTGGATATGGTTTCTAACTCTTGAACAAACTTCTGATGGTAACCGGCCATTCCACAGAACTTCGAATCTCGATAACTGAAATTGAGTACGACCATTATGTAGTAGTAGCGATCTTTTCTAAATATGCAACAACGCCTTGTTCTACTTACTGACTAAGGGATCTAACTTCCAATTTCCTTGCAGAAATACTTACTACAACGTGAAGTGTCCATCAAACGTCCTTCGAATAAAAATGCGCCTTGCGGCCGATTTTAACCATTATTAAATTCTAGAACTTGATACTTGACCCTGATGGTCACGTCCCTGATTTACGATACTCAAACATAACCGCAAACTCTTGTTCTTCTTCTTTACCATTGACACAGGTACGCTCCACAGAAAATAACTAAGTCGAATGAAAGCTTTCTCCAAATAAATCCTCTTACTGCTACTTGAACTCGGCTAGAACAACTTGGCGAGATACCTAGGCTATTGCAACGAATCCATGCTCAACACGAATACTGAACAATTTACTTCTAAGATATCAAATCTTCATGTTCCCTAGTTATCCAACTGTCCTCAATACTCTGCTCCTTGTTATCTTCCCTCCGTCCAGTGATGAAGATAATGGAATACGCCACTTCATCTTTTCTGAAAAGGTTTGTAAATGAGCGATGCTCCAACACTTAGTAGAATACCACTGCAGACCAACGGTGACTGGTCTTCTCCGAAAGACTTCTTTCCTCAACAATATCCTAATTGAGCTCGGTAACTAGATAGCCAATCTCACTATAGATAGAAACAAACCGCTCTAATGGAAGTACTAAGGAATGGGGATGGCATACGAAGGCATACCAAAACTCTAAATGGCAGCCAATACTTCCACGAATCAGAACGGCATACTTGAATTCACAAAAGTGAATCCTTCCTAAAACAATGACACTACCCGAGAACTACATCTATGTGTTGTTCCCGCATCAAACACAATATGGGCGGAAAATTCCGTCCATAGGCAAGGTCTCTTATGACACCTTGATCACACCTTCACTTATTTATTTAATCATTCATAAAATTTTAAAATGCACACATGCAATGGGATAAGAAACAAACTTGCGATTGGACCTTTTCAGAGGTTTTGACGGTCTATGCAACTATAAAGTGTAGGCTCTACCCAAATAGCCAAACACTTGGTTAGGGACTAATGGTAAGGAAAAGCGAACACGTTTATCAAGTAGTATCCTAGGTATAGGTAACAAGATCGGGTAACTTCATGGGCCATGTTAGGATAACCTCAGCACTCAGTACTGGCACCACCAAAGTGTGAATGACATAAGCGATTGAGGATTTTATATACTTGAACAATCATCACCATACTTTCCTTTCTAGCTCAAACCTTAACAACTCAGGTTCCTCGGTCTTGATTTGATGAAACGTTCAACCAAAATATTTGCCATTGACTTTCTTGATCCATTTCTGAAACTGACCTTCGATCTGAACCTCATAGCCTAGAAGAAGCTTCATTGGCAGTATCCACTCCCTTGACATTCACGTGACACTCTACAATCTCCTCAAAGCTCTACAACTCCATTAGCTCTTGTTTTCTCAAAAAATATTTTCTAAGTCCCTATAAAACATCTTCATGGTTGTTGACACATCCTTCAAATGATAATGGATGAATCAGATTCAATCGACTTCGAAATCTTGGTGCGAACATGTCCCTGTACCAACTCCATAAGTTAAAACTCCAATCGGTCCCATGCTTTGGGTAGAAAACACTCAATCTTGAACTCTCGAAAGAAATCTGCCTAACCTGGACTAACATTCCAAAAATGATGCTTGGTGCTTAATCACAGACTTACTGCATCCTTTTTGATGTTGTATGCTTCCAAATACTTCTTGCAATCCTCAGAACAATGGGCCATGTTTGTCATCTTTATCCAGTGCTGCATTCGAAGTCTTCCTCAATCGCAAAATCTACATCTAACGATTTAGTGCTTCCTTGGTATCTTGTTGTCCCAACTACTTCTTTGCATCATAAGCTTCAAGATGTCTCATTGTAACAGAATAGGGTTGCTGCGTCCATCGTCTTGTACTACAGTCGAACTATCTCTGCCACGAACGCAAAATAAATTAGGCTGGTACAGTTCTGGTACTGGTATAACTGAGAATAAGATGGATAAACCTGGGCTACCGGAAGAACAAGTGCGTCTGAGTGTACATATACAGTCGGATCACTCTGAACTGGATCATCACAAACAACGTCCACCTTGACATTGATATCACATGGGTACGAAGATGTAATCGATGCGTCAACTATGTCCCATATATCTTTGAATGATCGATATCCATACTAGAAATTATAAGCACCGCAGGAAAGCATGACGATACTAACTCTGAGCATGAAGATAGAAATCTCAACCATGACGGTTGAAAACCCAAGCTTGACGGGATCAAAATCAGTAAGTACGCTCCATCTCATTGAGCTTGTCATGGTGCATCTGGTATGAAAGATAACAGTAAGGTAACTACCCATGACTATCTATCCTAAGATGAAGGAACCAGCCAGCACATCCTAATTATCCTTGCGACTCATTTTGACTTGAAAAACGTTTAAAACAAGTCCCATTCAAGCATCGTATAACCATGCTCTGATACCACCTTTGTGACACCCCCGATCTGGTCAAAGTACAAGTTGACTCAACCGGTTGTGCAACAATCAAACAAGAACATACACAGCCAATCACTAGTAACTTAAACCAAACCAAAGAAGCCACAATGTGCACATAAACGATTAACAAAGTTCCCGGAATAAATCCAAGTACCTTAAGCCAATTGTTTAATTACACATATCCTATTAGGTACAACCCAAGGCTTTGCAACCCAACCGAGTAATACCCAATAGTTGGTTCCTCCGGACAAGGACTAATATCATATGGAACCCGTACTTAAAGAAACATTCTTTATACATTATATAATATTCTTTCAAAAGCATCTTATAGAACGTTAAGTATTAACCTCGAGGTTTTCGGTTAACAAACATTATACATAAGATATATGAAAAGACTTTGCAAGGATAATAAATCTACCGCTGGCTGAAGCCGTTCCTTCCCATCCTATAGTAAAGGTCTCCCGCTCACTGGTTACCTGCATCACAAATGAGTCATGAGTAACTAGTTTACTCAGTGAGTCTAATCCCACACCCCAACACATATTAATAATATCCCGAACAGTGAACTCCATTTGTATGCAGTGGAAATATATTCCATAACTATATATATATATATATATATATATATATATATATAAGGCCTATCATTCGATCAATGTGAATCCATCTTAAACATCACCTCCACGATATCCGCCAATCACTCATACTCATAATATATATATATGCTAAACTCGGAAAACCACCAAGGCTAACCGAACATAGCGGGAAATAAATATAACCATCATCTCCATCAAATATTCCAAGATAGAACATCCAACCCTGCATGCAGTTACATGGTCTCCAGGGTGCGACCCCATCATCGTGTCTTCATGACCTTGATCCATATCGCAGAACCAATTCACGGTTATGCGGGACTTTCGGGAGAGTGAATATACAATAAGACTTCACACGATTCATACTTATAGTATCAATAGTATGCTTATATATTAGTACTTGAGAACAAGTACTAAGGCTCGGGATAACCTTAAAGAATTATTCTTAGTAGTTCTTAAATATTTACACTATGTAAATACTTCATAAATAAATATAGGTCAAGAAATTTAGGAAACTATTTTATTTAATATTTATCCTCAGTTAGAGAATATGTAGCAATCTACAAAACTCTTTAACAAAATTTTAAGAATATAAAATCCTCAAAATTTTTAAAGAAATTTAGGAAACTATTTTATTTAAAAACTCATCAATATTCTGGTGTTCGGAAAAAAAGAAGAAACTCATCAATATTCTTTATAAATTCATAATCCAATAAAACCCACTTAAGTTTTATTAACAAGTTTGTGAGGTGACATCATTGATGAAGTCAAATATTTTTTTTTGTTTTTTGAACTGAAGTCAGTCAAATGTTGTTACCGAGTTGATCCAATACACTTCAGTAGGATACGAATGTTAGATCATTTTCTTGTTCCAAACTTCCAATCACAAGATGATTGTATTGTAATCTTAGTCCCCTCCAATAGAAAATTAATGTAAAGCACGTTACAACTTAATCGTTATCTTCTTTGTCAAAAAAAAAAAAATCTTAATCGTTATCTGCTTTGTAAATCTTTCAAGTAAAATGTCAGTCCTTCCTTTTTTTCCCCTTTAGACTTCCAAGAATGTAATATACATGCAACTGTGTAATGAGTCAACTTTTCACATCGAAAGAGCTGCATAGAGAAGCTGGTTCCAAGTATCTGGCAAGCCAGGAAGGCACCAGTGGCTACAATCGGTTCCTCCATCACCTCCATAGGTAGATGGATGAGCATCTTTTCTTAGTTGAGACAAAGTTGTGATGTCGAGTAAGTAAACGGGTGTTTTCATCAAGCTCAACACTCGTGATACGATGCTTGCTGCAGGAACTGAACCACCCGGGTATGTTGACCCGGTCAACGGTTGCATCTGCCCGTTGCAAGTCTTCCTTGGCTCATTCCATTCCCTTCCTCTATTAAATTTTACGAAAAACAAGTCAATATATTATACTTACGTACAAACCACGATTAGTACATATTATGTATGATAAACTTACACGTAGTGAGTGGGAGAAATGCCTTGGAAGAAAACTCGAGTTTGCGAAGTATTAACATTTTGATCAACCCACTGAGCCCAAGTGGTGAGTCCTTTGTTGAAAGCATCAAGACGGTCCATGTCTCTAATCAATGAAGAACCATTTCTTATAAAATCCCACCTGAGTAAACAACAATAATAGAAGATGAGAAGATGATTTTTTTGGCTAACTAATTAAGCATGTAGTAATCCCAAAATAGACATGCATCTATATATATATATATATATAAGGTATATGGTCGAACCCTTGGGATTGTACTCCTTTGTGAAGCCACCAGTGCCAAGAATTAAAGAGGAGAATGTCCATGTCTTTCCAGACATCAGCACCACCTTCGATGGTTCCAAGGTTAAGCACGCGCCCTACATCTTCTTTGGAGATATCCACTAGGTATGGTGTTCGATAGAGGTACAATGTAACTCCATATTCCTGTTATTTTATCATTTAGCAAGATTAAGAATCTAATAGGCTTCATTATATATGAATATGTAAGAACAAGTAATCAGTTACGTAGAAAATCACCCATTTTATATTACACATTATTCAAAATTGAGTATCCGAAATTTCCAAAACGGATTTAATAATATTAATACAAGAAACATAATTTGGAATTCTTTATTGGTTGTCATTAGCTGTCCGGTGTCATACTTCCTTTCGCTGCTATGTTCTCTTATTTTGTTTCTTTCCAGTTTATTCATTGTTATATATCAACTTTTATAATAATTAAATTATTTTCTAATCTCTATAAGCAGCTAGAAGAGAGAAATTGCAAAAGGCCGAAGTCAGCACTACGCATGTAGATGTTTGTCATAAAGATAATTTGGACACACCCACACACAATTATACGTTGCCAAAACAAGCACACACAGTGTCTAGATGTATTAACTGAGATAACAAGTATATATTGGAAAAAAATATCAAATAAAACAATATATGAAGTGGAAGCATACAACTACACAAAAGTATGACATTTTCTTAGAAACACACCTCTTTTGACTAAAATATGATATAGAAAAGGAAAACAATTATTGGTTTGTTTGGAAAATCTATATGCTTTTGCTTTTACCTCTTTTAGTCATTGTTCATAATTTTATATGACGTATATAACAATTCCTTCCCCAATTTAAGTAAATAAAGAAAAAGAAAGATCCATTAGGTAGACAAAATCATGATATATACCTTGGATGTCAAGCATTTGCATACAATTTTTTAAAATAAAAATCAAAAGTAAATTCGACAATGCTGCTTTTTGAAATGAAAATATTTGTATAATATAGAGCCCGTGACCAACTTGGTTGAATAAAATGACAAGCACTCCTCGTGAGGATGAATTATTAGATTTTGTTTTTATCTAAATACATATTCTAAGTAAATTTAAGGAAAAAGAAGAGGTAGAGAGAGGGGGGACCTGGAACGTGAGGGAGGAGAGTGGGGTACGTTTGATAAAAGTGTATTTGCTGTCTGGTACCGACGAATGTATCATACATGCTAACGATTCCCACATGTTTAGACTCAGTGAGTCACCAACGAACATCACTCGTTTCCCTCTCCATTTATTCAGAAAAGCTTTTCCATCGAACCTTCATTTACAATACATACATAACATAAACATCATCATGCTTAACTAGTTTAAATATTTGCATGTCTATTGATGTTACGTACCTTGGGATGGTGCATGAATCAGGTTGCCAAGAGTACATGAGGAACTGTTTGTCTGGTCTACCAAAACAGTTGAACTCGCCGTCGATGAAAGGACACATGGAAGAATTGTAGAAAGGGTAAGAAGCATCGAAAACCCATCTTCCTTGAAATAAGTTGCAACCACTCGTTTGCTTCCTCCCATTCAACTCCACTTTTCCTACTCCTCGTGCGCCTGCCAACGCCGTTTTGTTACGGTGGCTCACATGCGGACTTTGGTCGGCTCCGGACAAGATTGTGAGTATGAGAAGTGGAAGAAGGAAAAGAGAGATAAGTTTGAAACCCATCTTTCAAGAAAAATGATGTGACTTTTTTTTGGAATTGGCCTTGTGATGGAATTGGGTTATATATGCACAACTATCTACTTTTGTATATATATATATACACACATAAATATGTAGAGTAGTGAGTAACGTGAAGAGATTAGGATGTCTTACGATAATGCTGGTTCAAAACAAATTGTCTTAGGATAATCTAAATGTATTTTCAATATAATGTTTTCAAAAAGAGCCAAACGACATGTTATTCATATACCTTAATTATTGGGAATATGCTGCTAATGTGACCTGTAACGTCTAAAATCGCTTACCAATGATTATTGCCACACCATTGAAGTCTAATTAATTCTGGTAATAACTATGGAGCAAAAGAGTTTTGTTGAACAGAAGTCATCCACATTATCATTTTAGGTGTGTTTTCGTGGGCTCTCGTGAATGAATCAAAGGTATTAGTGGGACAATCTATGTCTTAGCTTGTCACGGGGGACATCTTATATCATTTTCCATCAGTTCTCACATGCTTCTACGCCATCTGTTCATTTATTTCATTTGTTAATTCTTTTCGAGTTTTGATGATTTTTTTTGTGTGAGTATAAGATAGGACAGAACTAGACAGGTAACCTTGCCTATTTTCTTCCAGTTGATTCCGTTTCGTTGATTAGTTTTTTAAAAATAGTGTGTGGAGTACTCACATGTGAGGGAAACAAAATTATTTCACGTTTCTCTTTATTTCTGACATTATTGATGATTCGATTGTGAAACATTGCGGCTGAACACAAGCAAAGAAAATAATAACCATATATTTAATTATTTATATAGGGAAAATTGGCTTCACTGACAGGAAAGTATGCCAACTAGAAAAAAGGACGTAAGACTTTTTTTTTTTAATTTAGACAAAAACCAATATTTTGACGGATCTATAAGAAACTATAGTTGGTTTGTGTTTTCTGCAACTATCCTGCATGTGAAAAAAAACAGGTAATGATAAACTTATATATTTATTAACTAATTAAATAATGATAGTCTAGTGATAATTTTTTGGATTTTAATATATAGCTAAATTAAGTCTATGTTCAATTTCTCATGTAAACTAAACTATCAATACTTAGCTAGTTTGGATATTTCAAACTCGAATCAATATTTAATCCATTTTGTAGCATTATACATTTTCTGAGATTAACTAGATCAGTCTATAAAATATTAAAAAAAATATATCAACTCAAAATTTTGGAAAAAAGTTGGAACAATTTGTGCGTTAAACTGTTTTCTTATAAAAGCTCATAGTATTTTTTTCTTCTATAAATCATTATTCATTCAATTTATTTATTGTTAGTTTCATCTCTATCTCAACATCCGATGGAGAATACACACCGCTGATTTTCCGCAAAAATAAAACATATGTCACCCCCGGATAGAGTAGGTTAGTAGTAGAAATTTTGATAACAAAAATATTGTATACCATATAGGAATTTGTAAAAATTGATTTCAAATTATATAAGGAGAAAACTGTGACCTTGACCCAAACTCTTCTTACTAACAAAAAGAAATAACAAGGCACATATTTTCCTACTAGCTAAGTTATAATCCCTTATATACTAATCCTTGAACATTATAACATATTTTTATAGTCACAATCATCATTACGATGATTCTAGAATTAAAAAAAAATTGGTTTATCTTGACATATATTAATTTTTTATTAAATTAATTATCAAATTAATTAATAGTACATAAAATAATATTATCTTTTCTTTCTTCAAATAAAATTTATGGAATGATCTAATAATATTAAAATTATATATGAAAATTAGGTGATTTTCGCACGCATACGCGGAGTAAAATTTATATATTAATAATCGTTGAATAAATACTAATTTTACTCGTTCAACCACCAATCATAAGTCCCTAAACGAACAGTCATGGACCGTCAATATAAAGTTAATGAGTAGGATCATTTTTTTGACATTTTTTATTAAACTTATTTAATTTACATTAGATTTCAATGATATCATCCAGATATAATTTATCTTCTCACTTCGATATGAAAAAATTAATTTTTTAAATTTATTTGATCAAATAACATTTGAGATTCGCGTTTGTGTTGAATGAATATTAATTATGTATATAAATTATTATACATATTATATTATTATTTATTTTCTGCTTTTTACATATTATGCAAATAAATATATTGAATACATGGAAACGATTAACTATTACGTATATAATTAAATTGGAGTGAACATAAAAGAAATCTCTCTTTGTATTTAAAATAATTATTGTTGGTAAAAAAAGAAAAAAAATATTTATTTTTATTAAATTGTATATAATTTAAAGTAAATGATATTTATTAAATAAGGTTTCATACTCATATAACTTTATTAACATTTTTATATTTTCTATGACAAAAATATTATTTTATTTTATGAATATTTATTAATTGATACTTCTTACTCTATGCAAATTTTGAAATAACATGTTTATTTATTTAAATATGATATATAAAATTGGGGAAAATTGAAATATATATATTTACTCTGAATATATATTAAAGGAGATTTCATATGGATATGATTTTAGCCCTGTTCGTTTCTTAACCGCTAGACGCAACGTCAGCGGCAAGAAAAAAGTACTACGACGGTGACCAAATTAATAGAATCTCAAGCGAAGTAATCACAACGGACTTTCAGAGACACAGAAAAACTAGACGCCGGTGCCGCTAATAATTTCGGCGTCTCTTCAACCTATTGTTAATTGCCGCTGCGTCTGGAAAACAAGTTGCCGGTGCTTCCTCGGTGTTGTGTGATTCCGTGATAATAGGTATAATGTGTGGTCGCTGCCGCTAGATGCAGAGGTTAAGAAACGAACAGGGCTTTTATGATCATTTCTATCTTGCTATAACAAAAAGCTAAACTATTAATCACAAAAATTTCAGTGTAGATTTTTAAAAGTCTTAGTAAATTATAATCGTTTACAAAAATCAAATATAGCATATAAGAAGAAGTCTAAACTTTTTAGTATATGATTAATGATATTGTTTAATTTATTTTAAGAATATAAAATTATAAAAATGATGGAGGGATAATTTTTTTTTATCAAATCTTTATTATTCAGAATCATTAATTGTCATATATTTGTTATCATATTAGGTAGTTCCGTAGTTTTTATTGAATGAAAAAATTTAGAATATTCTTTCATATACTAATAATTAATTTGATATTTCGTTTAATAAAAGATATAATATATGTTGAGATGAACCAACCTATTTTTCTAAAGATTATAATAATCAATTTATTGATGACCCATGACTATTAAAACATGTAGTAATGCTCCATGATTAATATATAAGAGATTAAGAATTTCAAATAATAAAGATGTTATAACAAATTTTGGTATCCTCTATCACTTTGGTTTAGTTTTATATTCTTAAAATAAATTAAACAATCATATTAAACATAAAATACTTTTTTTTGTTTTTTTTCTTATATGCTATATTTTGAACTTTCTTAAAAAACTATAAATTACTAAGATGGTTAAAAATCCAGATTAAAATTTTTGTGATCAATAATTTTTTTTTTGTTATAACAAGATACAAATGATCATAAAATAATATAAATATGAAGTTTCATTTAATGTATATTCAGAGTAGATATATATTTATATTCAGTATCATTTAAACTAAAATATATATCACACATAAAATATATAAAAATTTAATTTCAAAATTTACATTGAGTAGGAAGTTTCAATTAATAAATATTTATATTAATAAAAATTATATTTTTGTTACAGTTAATATAAAATGTTAATAAAATTATATGTGTATGTTACCTCAATTAATAACTATTTGCATTAAAATATACTATATATCTATATCAATATCCTTCAATTTTTATCATATACCAGATAAAATAAATAAATAATTATTTTGGTTTTTTACCAGCAAAAAGTATTACAAATATAAGAATTACTGTTTTATTTATGTGATTATTCTAATTTAATTATAGATGTAATAGTTACTCGCTTATCAATTATCCCATAAATTTATTATTTATAAATTAAAAATAATAATATTTAAAAATAATTATATACATAATTAATGTTTGTTCTACTCAAATCAGATCTTAAATATTATTTAATTATATCATTTCAAAAATATAATTCGTAATATTGAAGTAAGATGATAAATTAAAACATTTGGATGATATCATTGAATCCAAATATAAATTTAATAGATTTAAAGAACAAAATTAAATATCAACAAACATGATCATACTTCTCAATTTTATATTGAGGATACATAACTATATGTTTGGACATCTATGACATATTGGTTAAGGTTAAACGACCTATTTAACAATTATCTATAATAATAAAGTGCACTTATCTGCCCTCTCAGGCTATCCACATCGACTTTTTGTATATGGGGGATTTCGTCCGAATATGGTTGGCCATAAGTTTAACAGATTCTACTATAAACGGGTTCGGTACACAATTTAAACCCATGTATGTGTTACTGATTTTAGGCCCATAGGAAAATAGGTTCTTTCCCTTCTTCCCCGATGTTTTTGTTTCCCAAAGCACCTCTGCGATTTGTGATACAAAGCACGACCTTTTATTACCGTAATGTTTCTCATCTCCTTAACTCTCACATTCATTTTGAGTTTCGACTTGATTAATTTACGATTCCTTTTTTTGATTGCTGTTGAACTCTTCGTTTTCTTTGAAACCGGCTGCATCTCCCCCTATAAATATCTCTCCTTCCTACCATGAAAGCTCCAACTCTAAACAGATCTATAATCTTAGAAACTCCAACAAAACCCTTGCAATGCCTACTTCCTACACCGTTCTTGCTGACCTGAAGGCTGGGCGATGTTCCAAGGCGGCGGAAATCTGTTTTCTGAGATTCTGGGAGGCCAGGAACCTCACCAAAAATGGGCAACTGATGAGCCTTGAGATGTTATTGATCGACGAGCATGTAAATTTGTTTTGAGATTTATCTAATTTTTTTTTAGCTAAGTAAAATTCCTCATGTATAAATTAAGCTGAAAAATTTTCTCCATTTTTATCAGTTTTAAAATTACTCGCAAACACATACGCAGTTCTATATGATTTGGTTTATGATTTACTAATGCTTCCCATTTCTTGATCTATAGGCTACGCTAATCCAATGATCTGTGTCTGCGTCCTTACAGCTAACTTTCAGGGGACGTTTAGCGAAAGGATTGGTGTACACCTTGAGTGGCTTCGATGTCGCACGAAGCAGCCCAAAGTACAGGCTGTCTGTCGGTCCTGTCTCCATTCGTTTCAATGAGGGGACTGATCTGCGTAAGCTGGCAACCACCTCAAGGATAATACCGACAGAACATTTCCGGTTCCGACCATTTCAACAGATCCGTGAACTCGCAAATAATGGGAAACAACTACCTGGTATTTTTCCCCTTTTATTAAAAAAACTGAATGGTAGGTTTTTCCCCTTATAAAACCATTAATCTTTTGGCTATACGATTTTGCTAGACGTTATGGGTGAGCTTCTTGCGATCAAGAGCACCATAACTGACCGTCTTCATGGGGCACCTCGAGTTATGCTAACAATACGTCTTGAGAGGTATGGAACGCCCCCTATTAAACATTTGTTGTTGTCGCTTACAGTAACACGGTTTTTAAAATTTGTTCTTTTCATTATTTGTGGTGATGTAGAAGTCTGTGTGAGTATGTTTGATTCGTTGGTTCAGAAATTTCATGACAAGTTTGATGGCTACGGGAAAGAGCCTAAGATTGTCCTGGTAACAAGCATCAATCCAAAGAGAGCACCCATCCCCACCTTTGAGGTACGTTTTGTTTATTTCCCTTCGGTTGGTTTGTTGGTTTCGCAGTATATGACCTCATGTTTTCAATTCTCTATGCCAGGAAGTAGCAGTGGATGCTGAACCACCAGTCCAACTGCCTGTTGCACCTGGTTCTGGCTCTAAAGGTATCATCTCATGTAATGTCGCAGGCCAATCCAACATGTCTGATAATCCTCATGAAGTGCTGCAGACTACTGTGAAGGAAGTCGATGATGCATTGATGCAGAAGGAAATGTAGCTAAGAAAGCATGGGTGGAATCAGTGTTTTTTATATCCCGACCAACCACCTTAACTCTACCAGTTCATGTTTCATTTTGTTGACTTTCGCGCTTTAGTTTCATTTTGCAAACATTATATGTTTTGCTTTCTATTTTAAAAAAACTGTGCCCTGTGGTTGGTTGTTTCTTTTATTTAATAAAGCCTAGACTTTTGTGTACGGATTGTGGCTAATATTAGTGGTTTTGATGATTTGTTGGGTTTGACTCTTGAAATCAGGGCTGGTGTGGTGAATTAGATCAGGGTGTAAAATAGAAATCTTTACTCGTGTGTTTTAGAGCCTGTATGTAAACTGACTTTCAAACATCTACCAAGTTAAGACATGATGACAGTTAGTTTTGAAAGTTACATATATTCAGCGATTCAAACACACCTCCGTATTGTGCCCAGTGGGTTTTAAAATGTAGTAATACGTTGTACCTTTTTCTGAGTTATAATCCTTACAAGATGCCTACTATCTTAAAACTTTTAACTCTCTTAAAAAAGAAAAACAGATGTACCATTCATAAAATATAGTTTCAAAAGAAAAACAACAGCTGCCACGAGACTTTCCAGTTACGTACACGATCCACTTATGAACTTAAAAACATTTTCTAAGGATAACTGATGTACCATACAGAAAATATAGTTAAAAAGGGAAAAAAATACATCTGCCACGAAACTAATCCATTAACGTACACGATATACTTATGATCTTAATAATATTTACAAGCCTGATGCTGAGCAAACACAAACCAATAGTAGAAATGTTATAGAATTATTTGATTAATATTTCTGATGGATTCAACTCAGAAACACTCGAGATGTACATACATGTTATTCTCAGTAAAACAGTAACCGTTGTATGGTGTCTATTGACCTCCCATATGCATTCTTCAATCATATAGTAAGGCACTTGCGCCAGTATCATTAAACGTTTCAAACATCCCTCTGCATTCTTAACAATACAAATCTGATACAGAGGCAATTTCGTTAGTTCCTCTGCTTCATAGATTTTGGAAAACATGGTCAAAAAATCACTCGAGGTGCCAATGAAAGCATCTGAAGGGAGCTCCCGGAAATTTGAAAGGCTTTGTTAATATTCCAACGTCTTCGTCCTCACCTGGAACCAAAAAAAGCCATAAATAAAAGAAAGGTTTGTCCTCCAGAAATTAAGTTGTTTTGGTGTTCATCGTCACTCGCTGAGACTTGACGAATACTCAGATCTTCGAAAACAAACACAACCACGGCTATTAACCAAAAAACATAACAAAAATTAAGGGGAGATTCGTATTACAACCTACAACTACGAGAGCTTCCTTCTAGAAACAGAAAAAAACTTTCGATTCAGACCTTAGCTTACGAAACAACAAGCAGTTTTTTTCTATACAAAATCAACTAAATTTATGATATCAATAAAAATAACTTTCAAAAAACAATAAACTAACACCAAACTTCTAAACCCGGCGCATAGCGCCGGACCGCCCCTAGTTAATATATAAATTTCTCTTTCCGTAAATCACAAAGTTTTATATTATACATGACATCCTATTAAAACTGAGTAGTGAGTCTGACAACTCAACTCACACGATTTATTTCTACGGGAATTTTCGTAATAACCTGAAGATTCTATTAGGAAAAATCCATGACAACGATCTGTGTTGCAAGTAGGTCTGGGCAAAAAAACAGGAAACCCGAAACCGAAACCGGACTGAAATCCTTAAATATCCTAATGGTTCCTATATTTCTATAACTGAAATAACCGAACTGAACCGGAATCGAACCGAGAACCGCAACTTGCAAGCAACTAGGGCTTGGATTTTTATCCGGGATCCGGATTCGATCTGAGATCCGCTCCGAAATTAGGATATACGGCGGTGTCCGAATCCAAATCCAGATAGTAAAATTTCGGATCCGTACAAACCGAATCCAGATCCGGATATCTTAATTTTAGGGTACGGATATCCGGATTCGGATCCGTATTTTGAAAAATATATTAAAATTTTATTTTATTATTAATTATATCTGATATATAAATATTTCTACATAAAATAAGTTTAATAATATTCTAATTTTATATTAGTAATATTACATTGATATATATATTCATAAATTATGCTTAAATATTTAATTTATGTATTATTTTTAGAATTTTTGATTTTTGTTTAAAAATTGTAATTATTTTTACGGATCCGAATCCAAATCTTGATATCCGCTGATATCAGAATATCTAGCCGGATATCCGGAGTTCGAATATCCGAAAGATACGAATCCAAATCCGGATATCAAAATCACGGATTCAACGAATCCGGATCCGAATATGGATACGGATACTTCAAATTTTTTGGATATCCGGATCCGTCCAACCCCTAAAAACAACTAATTTAACATCTCTATAAGATATGGACAATGTGACATATAAATACAATTATATACACACATAAATTTAATTAGTTTGAAGAAAAATGTGGAAAAGTCCAAGAAGTCGGTGCTGGAACTTTGAAAATTTGTTACAGGAAGATATAGTTTTTGCATGTAGAGTAAATATGTTAAATTATTATGGTTTGCAAATCCCTTATTCCTCATAAGCCACCATCACATCGACCCTCTGTAAACGCTTATAATTATTTGTTCATTGTTCAATCCATTGGTATCCTAAAAAACCGTACATACCAAATATTTGTCTGAGTACTTCTCAGATAGCAAACACTTCATTGTTCTTATATGAAAACAAAAGACTCTGATGCGTCAAATCTCTTTGATCTATCAGGACATGATGAACGGAAATATCACTATTTCCCCCCCCCCCCCCATTATCATCACAGCTGTTCAAGAACTCGAAGCAGTACCAACTTCTGTTTCGAACCACATGAATATTTGAGCACCATCCTTGTTGTCAGGGACAAATATATACATGTAGCTAGGGATGTTGTATTGGGTAGTCCAGCCCAACCCAGCCCTAATTAACTTAAGCCCAACCCTAAATGAGCCCTAACCCTTCTATTACCCATTAAAATATGTAATGTAGGGCTTAACCCTTATTAACCTTAAAAGCCCTTTATATTTTTTTTCAATGTAAACACATTTGTAACAACATAAAAAAAAATTGTAAAACAATGACTACACATTGAGATAAGAAAAAAAAGTAAAAGTTTAACTTTTTTGATTTGTAATCCATAATCTTTAATCCATAATCTGTAAAAACAAGTTTGTAAAAGCTTAAGAACACAAAATATAAAGCAAGAAAATTAACATAAACACAAATATAAACTTCAAGACTTGTCGCTGAGTGGAGTATCAGCTCTTCTTCTTCTTTGTCTCTCAATAGCCTGAAGTTAACAAAGCCATAAATAGAATAAATCACAAAACTCATTCAATGATTCATTATCTTAAGAGGCTAAACAAGTACTAACAGACCCCAATAAGGAAATTAAACACTCAGACTAAGCAAAACTCATTCAATGATTCATTGTCCTAAGAGGAGGATTAAGTGAACTAATCGTAACCAAATCAACAGAGAACCCTCTAGCTTCCATCTCCTCCACCAACTTCACAGCCCCATCCACCTTCCCTTCCCTACAAAGCTGCAACACAACAATACTAAAAGTAACCCCATCCACAAAGTGACCCTTCTTCTTCTTCAAATCACAAAACAGAGTAAACCCAGCTTCACCCCTCCCGTTCCTAAACAACCCATCAATCAAAACATTATACGTCCAGCAAGAAGCTCTCACCCCTTCCTTCACCATCTTCTCAAACAACTCACAACCTTCACCAACCCTCCTCGCCTTAAACAACCCATCCAAAACAGAGTTATACAAAACAGTATCACCAACAAACCCATCATACTCCATCTCCCCAAACACCCTCATCGCATCACCCATCCTACAAGACTTACAACACCCTTGTATCAACACACGATACGTCACGTTATCAGGCTCGTGACCAGAGACTTTAAGCTCCTCCCACACAGCCAACGCATCTCTCACTCTCCCAGATAAACACAACACATGAATCAAACTATTATAAGTACATATATCAGCATTTTCCATCTCCTTAAACAAACTATATCATATCAAATTAGTAATGGGTTTTGACAAATAAAATAAAACTTATCATCTTAGGGTAATGCTTAAGCCAATTACAACAATGAAATAAGTTTAATACACACCAGTTACTTACACGTCAGAAGCCAGAATGATGATGAAATTCCACAGTCCTATCAAGATCTTAAAGCTAATAAAACAGCAACCATGAAACATATGACTGAATAAATAACTTAACTTCAATATACAGAGGAAAGACATACCAGACACATATCTCTTAAAGATACCCATTAACAAAGTATCATAAACATCAAAAAGGTAATGCTTAGGCCAATTTCAATAATGACATAAGCTAATACCTAACTAAACCATCAATAATAGGCATCAGAATCCAATAATCCTGAGATCTAAAATCATCAGTTCATCACACAAAGATCAAAAACGAATCAAATCGAACCTGAGAAGCTGTGATGATGAAACCCTTCGAGATAGAAGTAAGAGCTAAACCCTACAATCGAAAACCTTACAGACCCATCAAAAATCAAACAAGATAGACTCGAAAAATCAATGGCTACAAGTGAGAAATACCTTTAGAGATCTGAGACGAGAGTCTGAGACGAGATCTGAGAGGGTCTGAGAGGAGAGAGCGTCGAGAGTCTGAGGCGACGAGAACGAAGATGAAGATGAAGATGACTCGGGGAAGAAGATGACTGATGAGTGTCGGCGTAGAGAACGCAGAAGAAAGCCCTTTTGTTCATCGTTAAAAAAATAAATGATTAATTGGGCCAGCCCTTTTGAAACCCTTTATTTTCTAATCCAACCCTAAATGAGCCCAATATATTTTACAGTTGACACATTAGGGTTAGGGCTTTCAAAAATTTTGATGGGCTGGTACTACCCTAAATGTGAGAGCCCATTACAACATCCCTACATGTAGCAAATAGATGTATCTTATTTTATATGAATTAACATTTCGATCATAGCATGATATAAATAAATAAATTATTTTAAATATCAATTTTTACATTGAATAAATACATGTCGTACAAGTTACATCAACGCCTTGCAAGACGTACATATCATTACAAATAGGTGGTTCAGAATATGCGATGTGGAACTCAACCGCACCTCAACAATATTCAATTTAGTCATGAAAAAACTATGATAATATATCACTTTGTTATGTTTTTTTTCCATTAGATTATCGTCTATGTATAAAATATATAGCAAAATATCACTTACGCAACCGGAAAAAAGGCATATTTGGCTACACCACACATCCCTTGAGGCCAAGCCACGTCTCTTCGTATCCTCACATAACCATTTTCTTCCCAAGTTTCACCCCAAGAGTTCTTGGCCAGCCAGTACTTAGTCCCGTCCTGACTCGTCCCATATCCAACAATCGTAACCGCGTGATTCGCGCTGGTACCACAAGGCTATACTCCACCTGAGTAATGCATGAACCCGTCCCCACTCGCGTCCATTGAGACAGAAACGGGTTGCCTCGCTACGGCCTCGAGCAAAGCCCGCTCGTACGTTGTTGCTAGGGACGGACTGGAAACTACTGATCCGGGCAGCTTGTACTGCATTGGACCGGCATATCCCATCTGATCCTTGGTAAGAGTAGGACTTCCTCCGAAGCGATGCCTCGGTTTTGGATTATATAGTTAAAAGCATCCGACATTGTCCCACCGTTACAACCTTGGTCGTACTCTCTGTCGCAGTCTAGAAGCTGTTGTTCGGACAAAGATACGAGATTCCCACGGGCAATCTTAGCCACACCCTCAACTGCTCACGCCCAGCAGCATCCTGTACAGATAAATATTTCTGATCAATCGGATGCTCTCATAGTCATAGAAGGAACAACCCTATTTACTTAGCCCTACACTAACTTGGACATCAAATTATCATATTCTGGACGCAATTATAATGGGCCTTTGCATTGCATTTGTATAGATTTATACAATCTTTTTACATTTGTTTAGATTATACAATGTTAAGCATTTCTTTTGATTCAGTTTTGTTTTAGTTTTTTTTTTTTTTTGAAGAAAAGTATTCATATTGATTAAGCAAAAGAAAGAAAAAACATTACAAGCCCAGAGGCTTAAGTAGAGTTATGGGCTTTACCCAATGTTAAGATAGAGAATACATAGTAATGGAACTAATTAGGCCCAACAGAATAAAGACTTGGCGTGGAAGTGTAGACCGGTCCCCAGATGCTTCAGTTTTATCGAAGAAAGTAAAATTTGTATGCTTTGGAACCTCCGCTACACGTTACGATCGAAGTAGCGACAGTTGCATCATCGTAGAGGAGGCTTGAGGGTTTGTATATCCGAAGGTTTGAATACGGTTGCGGATTTGCTTGTCTGTGGTGGAGATGATGGATTCCGGCGATTTGAAGATTTGTTGATGAAGTCTCATGTTATATTCATTCTAGATCCAGTAGATGGTTGCGTGTAAAGCGAGGAGAGTTAGGCGTTTCATGGCTTTGTTTGCGTCGAGTGATAGAAGTTGATGGAGAAATTTTGTTTTAGTTGTATAAGTATTATTATTATTATATAAAAAGAAGCATTACCGCATTGGCCTTGGTATTTGACAGGAGTGACAGCTCCTTCACTTCGCCAATCCTTGCTCTCGTCTGCCATGTCGCCGACGTTCCAAGACGTAGACGATATCTTTTGTTCGACCTGTTGGAACTCTATTTTTTAAAGCTGATAGTTTCTGATTTTCCGGCGACTTTTCCGGCCAAGTCAGTGGTCGTTCCGGTCAGATCTGCAGCTCGTTGTAAAGCTTGTAACGAGTACTACAACATGGTATATTCACACTTTAAAAAAAGATCAAAATTGAATAAGAAATGAAGCTTCGAAGTTGGTATGTTGGTGTGGACAAAAAATGAAAAACCCAGTTTTGGGTTTTGTCCCACATCGGCCAGAAGTAACATCAGAGAGCAGTATATATATGCCTTTGTTTTATCATGGTTTAAACAGCTTGGAGAGAGAGATGGCTCCCCACGCGCGCGCTGCCGCCGCCGTCCGGCTGGGCGTGGGTTTGGGCTTGGGCTCTTTTTGGACCAAATTGAGCTCAACGCTTTGCCGTTTTTAAATAAAAAAACAGCATGATGTTTTTGTAAACGACATGAAGTTTGTCTTAAAAACAACATGGAGTTTATATGTTCGTAAAAGATCAGAACGAGTCAAAGAAGAAAATCTTGCGGAGAAAGTTTCTCAACTCTCCACTCCCGAGATCTCCAAGAATATTTCGCTAACGTGCTCCGCCAGTTACGAAATTCGAACTCTCGTTTCTTCTTTAAATACTCCTCTCCTCCTCTCTCATTTGGTATCTTTTTTTACACAGAAAAATCCAGCAATCTCTCAGCGTAAGTTTTCAGAGAGTGTTCGTAGAATTTATGTTCGTTAAGTCGTTTTACGAGTGAAGCGTGATTCGTCTGCCATGGTTGTATCCTGAGACTCCATATTCGTACAGTTTCGTCTCACTACGGAGCGAATATTAAGAGTTAAGGAAAGAGATTTATCTCGCCTCCATGTCTTATATAATCGTTTATTTCCTTAACTCCGTCTTTCTTATATCGTTCATGTCGATCCGATTTTCCGGCTTATACACGACCATGGATGAGGAAACTCGGGTTATATTCGTTAGTCCCGTGTGCGTTGCTAGGAACTCCTCGTTGGTCCAATCCGCAAATTCATTGACACCAAGCTTGTAGCCTTTGTTCCCTGCTTTTTTGTTGAAGTTCTCCATAAACTTCAAGTTATTCATAGATTTAGGATGTAACAGTGAGATCCAATCATATGTAAGCAACTGCAAGTTGACTTGAATCCATTTGAGGGAGATGTTATACTTTGCATTACTTGCGCCGTGATCTTTGGAAGAAAAAGGTCGCCATTTGTCTGTATAATATATTTTGAACTTCCTTATATTTGTATTTCGGGTTAATTTATTATGTTAGTTTATTTGGTTCAGAATATAAAAAATAAATATTATAAATTAATATTTGATAGTTTAATAAGTGATATTATTAACAATTTTGTTTCAAATTAAATCAGTTCAAAATATATAATAACTTGCTAAAATAAATAATAATAAAATTTAGAAAAAATCATAAACTAAACGTTGGAATTTCTTTTTAGAAAAATACAACGCGACTGTTCCATGCATGCATTCCAGTATTTTTTTTTTTTTTTTTGAGTAAGTAGAAATTTGTTTACTCTTAGTCTTAAACTCTTAAAGGTCACATGTTCCCAAAATAAAAGATTTCAGTATTCTAAATAGCACAAAATATCCTGCTGAACCAGTATGAATATTCCAATTTTTTGGATATGCAACATTNAGTATTTTTTTTTTTTTTTTTGAGTAAGTAGAAATTTGTTTACTCTTAGTCTTAAACTCTTAAAGGTCACATGTTCCCAAAATAAAAGATTTCAGTATTCTAAATAGCACAAAATATCCTGCTGAACCAGTATGAATATTCCAATTTTTTGGATATGCAACATTACATTAAACCTTTTGGAGTATTACAGTAACCATCTCGGAGTGCTGTGCATCTATAGCTTCATACTAGCCCTTTACTAATAATAATAATCTATAGCTTCATATTCATTAAACAATTCTATAGTTTTCTCGTTTGCAGAATTTAACATTAAATTTTTAATTGGTTTGTTAATTAAAAATGCAGCTTTACAAATACCTTATGTTTTCAGGTTTAGTATACAAAAAAAAAAAATTGCGCTTTCTAAAAATGAACTAGGGGAATCTTCTTTCCCCACTTGGAGTTTCTGCTTTCGCTTGTACTTTGAGCAAACTCCACAAAATAGTGGATTGTGTTTTGGAGAAAAAAAAAAGTATTAATTCTATAAGATTCTAATGGATTAATGAATGACATACAAGAATATTAGTTATGGTATATATCATTTGTTTTGGTCAAAAATAGAATAGTTAATTAAAGGATGAAAGTACATTACATTTTTTTGGCGTGTACTTTACATATTTTGGAATAAAGTCAGTTAGAAAGTTGATTTGTTTTGTCATATCCCCAACCTAAACAAATTGCCGTAGACAATATTATATGTGCAAGCACTGAATAGGGGAGCAATGGAGCATGGGCTCAAATGGGTACGTCATATTCATCATTCAAGTTCAATTCTTTGGTATATTTATGTCTCTTAACTTGGCTTATAAGAGTCATGTATTGAAACGACGAAAAATATTGCATAGAAAGTTTCTAGCTCTGCCCATTATCTACGAGATCATCCCTCCGCTGCTGAAAACTAAGATCAGTTTCAATATTTGAAGATTGGTGAAATTGTGGTAGCGCCAGGAAGCAAAAAGGGAAGAAAAAGGAGAATCAGATTGAGTATTTTTTTCAGAGGAAGGCGAGATGAGAAGACAATCAGATTGATGCGGAAGATGGCATCGTTCGAAACACATCAGACCATTCAGTTTTTTTTTCTATGGTTTGTAAGCAAAACTAAACTCCATAGTCTTTTGACCAAAAAAAAAAAAAACTCCATAGTCTATATAGATATCAGTTTAGCATTTTTGTTTGCAATTGCTACATCTCAAACCAACTTATATGTTTGCAGATTTCACGACACTTTCTTGCACCACAACTTGAAATGAGATAAAAAATAATAATAATTAAGCCTTAATATGCTTTGACTTTTAGATCTTTGAGCATGTCAGGTTCATATCTCTGATGTCATTCTTTTCAAATATTAATGTTTTCAAACTGATAGATTTGTGAGTGATGTGAATTACTGAATGCAATATGCAGCCTTTTGCGAAGCAGAACATGACTCAAAACACGCATGTATGTTCATAACAGAAACAATGATGGTTTCATTTCTTTTTATTTGGTAAAATGTTAATGGTTTCATTTCTTTTTCTGAATATAAACCTCATCTTGGGCCTGCAACTAGGGTAAGCTGCAATATTCTATTTCTTCTGACTTGATATATTTGATAATAAATGAAGGGTTTTTTGCCAAAACTAACCCACAACTTGGTTTTAACCTCGATACTAGACTCCAACTTGAATCAAATGTAAATCTAACCTAAAAGGGCTATGAAATTACAGTATAGTGCTCTGTGACCAAACAAAAAAACAGAAGACATTTTTACGAATATAACCCCAGTAAGTTGTCTGGGTCGGGCTGAGTTACCTTTCAGTCGTCTGGACGACTGAAATGTTAGTTGTCTGGAGGATTGAATCTTAAAAATAATTTATAAATTCTGTAAAAAATATTTTGATGAGTGAAAAATTAAAAACATTTAATTATAAACATTTATAAGTGATATAAATGAAGAAATGATAAAGTTGATTTGTTTTCAGCATAGATGAGTGGAAGTAGTGAATCATGATATTCTTTGGTTTAAGGGTGTGCAAAACATATGTTGTAGTATTGTATGTAATCTTAGGGTTAGATTTTGAAAAGCTGAAATATTGTTTTGAAAAAATTAATTTGACATTTATGTGTTTATTTCTGTGTATAGTAAACATTTTTCAAGTTTAATTTGATGTTTCGAAGTGTTTAATTAGAGAATAAAGTTTAGGGGTTATGTTTAGGGATTAGACGACTGAAATTTCGTGTTCAAAAAAAAGAAAAGAAAAAAAAGACGACTGAAATTTCAGTCGTCTGCTTTAAATTATTTCCCAGACGACTAAAATTTCAGTCGTCTGCTTTAAATTATTTCCCAGACGACTGAAATTTCAGTCGTTTGCTTTAAATTATTTCCCACACTACTGAAATTTCAGTCGTCTGCTTTAAATTATTTCCCAGACGACTGAAATTTCAGTCGTCTGCTTTAAATTATTTCCTAGACGACTAAAATTTCAGTCGTCTAATTGTACCGAACCGTTAATTTTAACATTTTACGTTTTAACCTAACCGGATTTTTACTGGACATATAAAAGTTATTTTTTCACTTTTTCACAATTTTCCGAAACCCTAGCACCGTTTCTCTCCAAGGACGATTGTAAAGGCGATTTCGACGAATCTCTCCGTTTTCGCCGGTAATCTCTCCGATTTCGACGAATCTCGTTTTTCTTTCATGCCTTAGAGTATTTTCGTAGTTTAAACTGACCATCCGCTTCCTTTTTTTCAGATCTGAAATCTCGTAGCCCTTTCCTCCGCCGCCGGTATGTTATATCTTATGTTTTAAGGCGTTTAGCCGCCGGAAAANTTAAACTGACCATCCGCTTCCTTTTTTTCAGATCTGAAATCTCGTAGCCCTTTCCTCCGCCGCCGGTATGTTATATCTTATGTTTTAAGGCGTTTAGCCGCCGGAAAACCCTAAAAATTGTAGTCTTGACTCTTCTTTTCCCTTCGATATGCAGATCTGTAACCGCTAGGGACCACATCTTCTCCGACTAAATCTTCTCTGACTGTAAGTCGTCATAGTTGTCTTCTCACTTCCTGGAAGCCTTCTACGAAGTCTTACTCTCTGGACGACTTACATGTAAGTCGTCCAGAGAGTAAGACTCTGTAGAAGACTTCCAGGAAGTCGTCTGAGTAGTCTTCTCACTTCTTGGAAGCCTTCTACGAAGTCCTACTCTCTGGACGACTTACATGTAAGTCGTCCAGAGAGTAAGACTCTGTAGAAGACTTCCAGGAAGTCGTCTGAGTAGT